GGATGACGTAATAAATAATAATATTATTATAAAAAATTAATAAAATTAACAAAATAATGAAATTTAATAACCATATAATTTCATATAAATTATTGTTATTTTATATTACATATTTAGATTTAATTTATAAACATAAATTATTTAAAAGCTCATAATATACAATTATAAATATAATTAAATATTTTTATATAAATTATTTCATTTGGCAACATCTAAAAATGTTAAAAAAAATTACCATATTATTTACAAAGTTTTTTAACAATATAATATTTATCAAATATGTTAAAAAACTTAATATTTACAAAGTTTTGTAAATATGTTAAAATTTACAAAGTTTTTTACATCATAATATTATGACCGGACATCTAAATATGTAAAAAACATTAAAAAATATTATTCAAATATAAAAAATAATTATTTCTATTATAATTTATATGATATAAGTTTTACTTGAGTGATTTGACAAACAAAAATGAATCCACATTAACTTTATAATATATATAATGAAAAATATTAAAAAAAATAAATATAAAAAAATTAAATATTATGAACTAAGAAAATAAATATTATCAACTAAAAAAATTAATATTATTCAAATTATAAAAAAATAATTAAAAAAATTATTTAAAAAAAATAATACAAAACTATACAAAGGCTAAAACTATGAAACAAAAAATATGTCTTTGCTTTGTATGGTTTAGTCCCACATTGCTTGGGAAGTTTTACTTTGTATATTTTATATACCTTTTCACTTTCTCTCATACCAAGAGGCAAGAGGTCATGTGAGGAAAAGATGACATGAGGTTGTTCAATTATTATTTAAAATAATGTACTTAATATGAAATTAGAAGTTTTATAATAATTGATTAAGATTAATATTTATTTAATATTATTTATATTAAAAAAATTTGAACCGGCCGGTTTTAAGAAACCCGGACCGGTTCCCCGGTTGAACCGGCGGTTCATGCCAAAATCGGCCGAATCGGCTTTCAGACCGGTTCACGGTTGAACCGATCGGACCGGCCGGTCCGGTCCGGTTTTTAAACCATTGCTCTGTAGTGCAACTCCAAAACTCACCAAGTCCTTGGAGGAAACAAGGTGCAAACTAACTTGGAGCAACCATGTGGAAACCCCTCACACTCAATCCCACCCTCACCTTCTCCGAAGCACTAGAGTTTTCTCAAGAGTTCTCCCTCAATGTTCCTTCAACAACCAAAAAGATTTTTTTTTCTTTTGCTATAAAACAAGTATTTAAATGATCTTCAAAGAAAACCTAAATTTGCAATTCTATTAGATATGATCATACAATATGATTAGTTCAATAAAGCATAACAATATTGTAGAATATACAAAAGGCTGTACAATCTGTTAAATATTTAAATTGATCGTCCAATATAATTTAAGTATTATACAATACGATTAGTTTAATCGAATCATATTTTTGTCGAGGCTGATCGATGAAGATTAATTATCGTCCCCACTTGGAATCAATTCATAATGTATGAACAAGGTCACCGTACATACACTTATTAGATGAAAACATTCCTAGTCTATCAGATAAAAACACTCTTAGTGATGTAAGCAAGCTATACCCATATTTGGGCAATTAAAGGTGGGTTGAAATTGGCTAAATGGGCTTAGACCATTGAGGTTTATTGTTGTTTGGTGTTTGGAAATAAGTTAGGATGGGGTGATAGCTACTTTCTTTTTTTCAGTTCCTTGGGTGTTACCTTTTCGAGTCCCTATTTGTTGGTTATGCTTGGCCGGCCCTTGCTTTACATGTTTGGCTCCCTGGCTGATTGTTCGGTTCATACATATATTTATGGTTGGTTTCTTTTGGCTATTGGGCTCCCAATGTGAGTAATTGCTGACTCTTTTCTTCACTTTTCTAATTGGGTCATTGGGGCGGCTGAGTGGTTGTTTATCTCCCTTTCTTCTCTTATATAAGGGGGCTGATTTGAGGCTTTGAGACAAATTTGATGAGAAAATATTTGTAATGTAAAACCTGTGGGTTTTGTTTGAGTTTACCCCTTTTCTCTTCTCCTCTCTTTGACTTCGCTCAGGCTTCTTATCTACTTCTTCTCTCCATAAGTTTCCACCCCATTTGTATCTTTCTTCTCAAGCGATATAAAAGTTGCAAGGTGTCTTGAGTCATATTTTTAAGGATGTTATTTGCATCGTGATGTGTCTTTTATTTCAAGTTTGAAAGTCTAACTGTGTTTTTTATGTTCTAAAGTTGTAAGGTGTCATTTTGTATCATTTTAGGTTTTGTGTTTTACTTAATTTGTCATTTTTTGAAAGGAAGATGATAGTGTATGCAATCTTAGTTTTTTTCCTATAAATTTTAATTTCATCAATTTGGTATTAGAGCTTAGGTTTTTTTTTGTGCCTTCCTTTTTTAAGTGTTTAGAAAAATTGATAAACATAAGTTGAGGGCAATCAAGAAAGTAAGCCTTGTGATATTGAAAAAGATATTCCTATGAGCCGATGGATTCTGATGCAAGAAAATTCTACCAATCCCATACAGAACAAGTTGTAAAAAATTCAATATCAAATATACTTGTGTATAAAAAAATATGAGAAGAGGAAGAAACTTATGTAAGCCCAGTTTAAGCAAGAAAAAAAATAATCTAGAGAAAGTACGCAGTTTTAATTTCATAACTGAATAAGAATAATTTGATGTGTAAGGAAAGCCCAAATTCCATCTCCTCATGAGATGAGAATTTTAAACCGATGGGGAATTGATGTAAGAAAGCTATACCCATATTTGGGCAATTAAAGGTGGGTTGCAATTGGCTAAATGGGCTTGGCTCATTGAGGTGTATTGTTGTTTGGTGTTTGGAAAGAAGTTGGGATGGGGAGCTGGTTTCTAGCTATTTTTCCGGTTCCCTGGGTGTTACCTATTCAGGTCCCTATTTATTGGTTATGTTTGGCTGGCCCTTGCTTTACATGTTCAGCTCGTTGGCTGATTGATCGGTTTCTGCATATATTTATGGCTGGTTTCTTTTAGCTATTGGGCTCCTAACGTGAGTAATTACCAACTCTTTTCTGATTGGGTCATTGGGATGGCTGAATGGCTGTTTGGATCCCTTTCTTCTCCTATATAAGGGGAGCTGATTTGAGGCTTTGAGAGAGATTTTGGTGAGAAAATATTTGGAAAGTAAAACCTGTGGGTTTTGTTCTAGCTTGCGAGCTCGCCCCCTTTCTCTTCTCCTCTCTTTAACTTCATCTTGGGCTTCTTATCTACTTCTTCTCTCTGCAGGTTTCCACCCTGTTTATATATTTCTTCTAAAGTGATAAAAAAGTTGCAAGGTGTCTTGAGTAATCCATCTGCCAGCAAATCTGCCTTCCCCCCTTGCCAATTCCCCTCCAGTTGAAAGTGCTCATCTCCTGATGAGTAGATTCTGAGTTCTCACAATGCGCCAAATGAGATTTATCCAATTCGAGAATTAAAGTTGCATACTGTTATTTGATCATATCTCTTTCTTGCTTGAATTTGGCCTGAAGAAATTACGTTCTCTTTTCATACCTTTTTGTACATAAGTGCATCTTCATCTGAAGTTTGTATAACTCATTTTGAATTGGGTCTGTTGAATCTCCTTCAGGCAAGAGATTGATGTCTGTTGGAATGCCAACTTTATGTGTTCATGGAAATGGAGTTTGACTTTAACAATAACAAGATCATATTAATCTTGAAATTTTGTCAACTCTTGACTTGAGATTCCCATAGGGTGATGGTTTGGACTGCTTATTATTGTAAATATATTTTTTTATAAACACTCATAAAAATTCTTGCATACAACCTAAAGCTCTGATACCATTTTAATGTAGATAAACAAAATTTCCCATAAATACAAACTTTGCAAGTCTTCCAAAATTTATCTATTTCAAACCAAATATACTAAAATAATTACTAATATGACAACTTAACGATAAAACTACAAATTATAGATGATATGATAACAAAGACATGTTAAAAGACACTTAAAAATCTAATACATTGATAATAAGATAAGTTGAGAAGAAAGATACACTGGAGTGATAACCATGGAGAGAAGAAATAGGTAAGAACCCTGAGACGAAGTCAAAGAGAGGAGAAGAGAAGGGGATACATAGCTCGCAAGCTATCAAAAAACCCTTAGGTTTTCTTTCCAAATATTTTCTCACACAAACATACATTTAAATGTCACAAATTAGCTACTATATATAGGAGAGGAGAGGGAGCCAAATAGCCCAAACAGTCGCCCATGATATCCAATCAATAAAGGGGAGGCAGAAGGCCAAAAGGCAGCTAATGGGAGCAGCACCCGAAAGGCCAGCGGGATATAGCAATTGAATAAACAATGCAAGGGGGATGGAACTGGGCAGGCAGAGGAATCAAAGGGCCAAAAAGAAGGGGGGGAAAAGGGGGGGGGGGGGGGGGGCGCAAACCGGGTAGGCAAAGGAACCAAAGAGGCCAAAATAAGGAGGATGAATCCAGCGGCCAACAAATCTGCCGCCTCCCCCCTGCCTATATCAAATTCTCCTCCGGTTGAAAGAGCTCATCTCCTGATGAGATAGTTTTTGAGTTCTCACTATGCGCCAAACGAGATTTATCCAATTCAAGAATTAATGTTGCGTACTATTGTTTGTTCATATCTCTTTTTTGCTTGAATTTGGCCAGAAGAAATTGCTTTCTCTTTTTATACCTTTCTGTACATACGTGCATCTTCATTTAAAGTTTGTATAACTCATTTTGATTCGAGTATGTTGAATCTCCTTCGGGTGAGAGACTGATATCTGTTGGAATGCCAACTTCATGTGTACTGGGCAATGGAGTTTGACTTTCAACATTGCTAGGATTGTATTCATCTTGAAATTCTGTCTTCTCTTCACTTGAGATTCCGATAAGGTGATAGTTTGGACTTGTCATTATTATAAATGTGTTTTTTAAAGACGCATAAAAAGAATTGCACATAACCTAAAGCTCTGATATCATTTTGTTGTAGACAAGAAAAATTGCCTATAAATATAAAATTTGCAAGTCTTCCAAAATTGACCTACTTCAAACCAAATATACTAAAAAAATGACTAATAAGAACTTAACAACAAAACTACTAATTATAGATGATATGATAACAAAGACACGTTAAAAGACACTTAAACATCTAAAATATTGATAATAAGATAAGTTGAGAAGAAAGATATAATGGAGTGATAACCATGGAGAGAAGAAATAGGTAAGAATCTTGAGATGAAGTCAAAGAGAGGAGAAGATAAAGAAGGGGATACATAGCTTGCAAGCTATCCAAAAACCCTCAGGTTTTCATTCCAAATATTTTCTCACACAAATATACATTTAAATGTCACAAATCAGCCACTATATATAGGATAGGAGAGGGAACCAAATAGCCCAATTAGCCGCCCATGATATCCAATAAGCAAACGGGAGGCAGAAGGCTGAAAGATAGTCAAAGGGAGCATCACCCAAAAGACCAGTGGGACATAGAAACTAAAAGGATAGTGGATAGCGATAGGGGAAAGGAACCAGGCATGTAGAGGAACCGGCATAATAGTCTACCCAGTCTTGAGTTGATTCTTTTGTACAATGTATGACTTACCTGAAATGTTAGTGTGCACAGAAAAATAAAATCTACAAATATGAATTAGAGAAATATAGTAAAGTCAATAAAGTTTGCTATCATCAAATTAATGGCTTTAGAATTATGGATTGTAATAATCTCCCCATTTTTTATGATGATAAATATTATTGGTTTAGGAATTCAAATTAATCAAATTTTCTCCAAAAAACATCCCCTCACTAAGTAAGTGATCCTTTCAAAAATAGGGGTAATTATATATATATATAAGTTATTTAAATGCAACATTAAGCAAAAAACAAAGACAGAATAAGAGAGACCATAAAATAAGAATAAACTAAAATCCAAACGATTAACGATTGCACAACAATCAACTAAACATCATTATCTCCCTTTTGACCTCAAAAAATGAAAGAACAACTAAGCATAAGAAGAAAAAAATAAACAAGATAATGAAAATAAAACATAAAAACAACCTACAATAAAGAACACACACTAAAAGTAGGAAGGTTCTTGATCCAGTGGTGGTGGTGGAGGTGGTCGAAAGTGTCGGTAAAGGGATGCAAATTGCTCTCCAAAAAATGTTATATCTGTTTCATTCTGTTGATGTTGCTCCTTAACGTAAGCATCGAAGAAAGACTCCATCTAATCAATTCTCTGAATAAATGCCTCATATTGAGAAGGATGGTGTTAAACTTCATTCAAAGTTTAATAGAGGGCGTTAAACATTGTTGAATGGTCCCTAGGCACACCAAGAGGGAGGTGAGGGAATTGGTATTTTAAAAATTTTGCCCATTAAAGGTTCCTCTCTGCAAATGATGTCAAACAAAAATACAAGCAAAAGAAAATATCAGAAATCAAAATAAAATTTTTATTTTTATTTCAGCAAAAAGAAATAATTTTTATACTTTTGGTTTTCATGTTTTGTTTCTACTAAATCTTGCTCATAGAAACTAATCCACATATATCACAAATTTTCTCACCACACATTTCACAAGAATAATATGCAGAAAAAAAAGTGAGAAATAAAATGCAAATATAAGAGCGAGAATACTAGAAATTTCATAGTGATTTGGGCAAAACTTTACCTACGTCCACTCCCTAGAGTCCTCCTCTCTAGGTATTGCAATAACTCCTTTAGTGTCACTTCTTTAGCTCCATGGCAAGGTAGATAAGCTCTTACAAATCGCATGCGGGAGCTCTGCTAGGGTTTCCCTTTCCCGCCTGCTTTGCTTTTCCTTCTTCCCGCCGCCCCCCCACCCCGGCAGCGTGCCGGAGGGCTCTTCTCATGGATTCGTCTTCTCTTGCAGCTGATTTTCCTCCACTCTCCTCTTCTGCTGCTGTGGCCCCTGCATCGATGAGGAACTGGAGCCAGATTTTCGCTCCTGACTCTTCCTCTCCATCTCCTAAGGTTTTCAACTTTTCTCATCATCCATCTGAGCCAGAAATTATTCCGTTTTCACATGACAAGCTTGAGCAAGGAAGCGGAGACTGGAACCTATGTCTTGTTGGATATTCCATAGGGCGTCGACCTTTCTATGAAGCGCTGTTAGGAGCGTTAAACAAAACTTGGTCTTTGAAAGGTTCTCTCAAACTTCTTTCACTTAGTGAGGGGTTTTTCCTCTTGCGTTTTTCCTGTGCTGAAGACTATGATATGGCTTGGTCTAAAGGTGTCTGGTTTCTTCTTGGGAAACCCTTTGTTCTTCAAAAATGGCACCCAAAATTCAAACCCAAGAGGGAAAATTTCTCTACAGTTCCAATTTGGGTTAAGATTCACGATCTCCCCCTTGCATGCTGGAATTCAGAGGGCATCTCGAGGATTGCGAGTAAAATAGGGGTGCCGCTAGCTGCTGATCACCTCACAGAGCAAAAAACGCGCCTAACGTATGCACGTATCTGCGTCCTTGTTGACTGCAATGCTGCTTACCCGGATGAAATCAAAGTCTCTTTAGATGGAGATGTAGTTGGGTTGAAGATGCAATATGAGTGGTGACCATCTCCGTGCGAGCACTGTAAGTCCTTGGTACACTACTCCTCTTCTTGTCCGTTAAACCCCTCCCCTGTCAGCAACGCTCAGGGGACCACTCAGTTCAAACCAAGAGGCAGAAGTTTTAGTAAGAAACCTGGTAATAGGTTTCAATCTCGCCCCCCTTCCAGGCCTCCACGTATTGAGCAAAAGGCCACTGATGCTTCCACATCCAATCCAGCAGCTGTTACCACTTCATCTCTAATTCCTCTTTACACAAATAGTATTGGGCAACCTTTGCTTTACCAAAAGCACTCCCCTCCTCCTCCACGGAAAATGTCTCCTTCGCCAAGCAAAGCAGCTAATGTGGAGCACCCCCTTCTAATTCCCCCCAGCCGATGTTGAAAACTTGATAGATGATATTGTGACCAGCATTCCCAACCTAAATATTCCTACTGAGGAACCATCAGCTTCCTCTAGCTCTTTTCTGGCTTCTTCTCTGAAGTCGAATAACTGTGTCAATTCTTTAAATAAATTTGAGGTTCTTAGCTCTCAGATTGAAACAGACACGAATGAGAATATGGCATCCCTCAATGACATAGTTGGGCAAAATCTTAAGCAGCCGAACAAGGGAAAGAAACAAACTATCTCTGAATCATCCAAGAAAACTGCTAAGGGAAAGCAGAGTAAAAAATCCCAACCTCAACATTCTTCATGATGTCTTTTCCCATGATTGGTACGTGGAATGTAAGAGGGTTTAACCACTCTGAGAATGTCCTTAGCTGTAAACGACTTATTAAGTCTTTTAAGCTTGATCTTTTATGTCTTTTGGAGACCCGTATCCGCTCCTCCTCTCTCTCTGACCCTTTTTTTGACTCTTCTCATATCCTTTTCCAGAATGAAGCTAGTCTTCATAATTTTCATTTGACCTCTTCTGGACGTATTTGGGTCAAATGGGATTCTAGCAAGCTCAATTTTATTCCTAATCTGGTTACTCCCCAAATGATTAATGGGAATGTCATGGTTGGTAATTGCCTTCAATTTCAAATTTGTTTTGTGTATGCTGCAAACAATGCCACTGAGAGGAAGGCTCTCTGAAATTCGATTTTCTCTGTTACTCCTGCAAATGACGTTCCCTGGGCTATTATTGGTGATTTTAACTGCTGCCGTTACGCGTTTGAAAAGTATGGTGGCTCTTCTTTGCATTACTCTTTTCTTGTGGACCTTAACAATATGATATTTGCTAATGGCTTGCTGGATTTACATTCGGTTGGTAGCTTCTACACCTGGTTTAATCAGCAATCTGTTAACCCTATTTTTATTAAACTTGATAGGGCAATTGTTAATGAGGAATGGGGCAAGAAGTTTCCCAATTCCTACAGCTCTTTTCAAACTCCATCATGTTCGGACCATTCCCCTATTATTCTGCATCCGGGAGCTTCTTCAAAGTCTAAGCACAGGTTTCTTTTTAAAAATTTTTGGACAAAGCATGACAATTTTTGGACATTTCTTTTAAATGTTGTTTCCATGCCTGTTTATGGTAATCCTCTTTCTCACCTCTGTAATGTTCTGAGAAGGCTTAAAGGTGACATTAAAAATCATCCATGGGCGAATTCTCTGTCTCTTAATGCCCAATTAGATGACCTTCATGCTAAACAGCTTACTACTCTTGAGCGTATTCATGCTTTTCCGGAGGATGCTACTCTTGTTGTTGAGCTTAGACAAATTAACATCAATATATCCCATGTTAACTCTATGATTTATAGTTAGGTTATTCAAAGAGCTAAAACTAAATGGCTGCATCACGGTGCAGATAATCTCAAATTTATGTATGCCAAAATCAGGAGTAGGCAATGTAGTTCAAAGGCTGTGGTTAACCTTTTTGCTGTTAACCCGAATATTTCTAGAGAAGAAGTTATTCATTCTATTATCCTTTATTTTCAAAAGCTTTTCAATCCTCCTGCTCCTTCTTCGATGAATATGCACATTTTTCCTATTGGCAAAGCTATTCCTGAGAGCTCTGTTATGAAGCTTGTTGCTCCTATCTCAGATGATGAGATTAAATTGGCTGTTTTTAAAGGTTCTTCCAAATCCGCTCCTGGTCCTGACGGGTTTAATTACTGCTTCTATAAATCAGCTTGGCATATTATTGGACCTCTTGTTTGTAAGGCTGTTAGGTCCTTTTTTGCTAAAGGATACATTGTTTTTCCAACCTTTTAGAGGCTAGAGGTTTCAAAGGTTTTACTGCGGAGAACTTTCAACTTTCACATCTTTTATATGCTGATGATGTCTTAATATTCAGAGAAGCTAATCTGGAGAATTGTTCTCTTCTTTCTGACATCCTTAAAGATTTTGGAAATGCCTCGGGATTGCATGTCAACTTTGAAAAATGCTCTGTTATGTTTTCTAATAAACATAGGGATCAAGACTCTTTGTGCCAAGCCTTATCTATTTCAAATGTTTTCTCCAAGATTACTTATCTTGGCATCCCTATTTCCTTTGTTAGGATGAAAGTGGTAGATTACCTTCCACTTATGGACAGCTTGCTGAAAAAATTTTCTGGTTGGAAGGCCAACCTTCTATCTTTTGCCGGAAGACTGCAATACATTAAATTCACTATTCAGAATACGATTGCGTATTGGATAAGAGGCTCTATTATGCCTAAAACTGTGTTTAAGTTCTTTAAGAAAACCTCTTCAAAATTCTTATTTTTTGGGTATGTTTCTTGCTCCAATAAGCTTCACATGGTTTCGTGGGAGACTGTTTGTAAACCCAAAGTGAAAGGTGGATTGGGTATCCCGAGCTTATGTGCAATTCAGTATTCTTTCAACTGCTCGATAATCCTCAGAATGTACAATTGTTCCTCACCTCTGTGTTCCTTGCTGTCTTCTCAATATACTTCTCCTTGGAAGCCTCCAAATCCGAAAGATAGTAAATTCTGGATCTCAATCTGTAAAACTGCTTCTACTGCTAAGCTGAATTTTAAATTAACCATTACTCCTAACGCCCCCATTTCGTTTTTCTGGGATCATTGGTGTGGGAACTTAACATTTGCTGAACTTGTGGGTGATCACCATTTTGATGGTTTTAATTCACCGTTGCTGAAGCACTATATTTCTAATTCAATTTGGGATTTTGGTGGTAATGTTCCTCAACATATACAAGATTTATTAAGTCATTTTCCTATCTCCCAATCTGAAGAGTCTTGTTTGAAATGGAAGGACTGTGTTAAAGCTCATTTTAGTACCTTTATTGATGAATACTACAATTTTTTGCCTGACTGTCCTTGGAATAATTTGGTTTGGCACAAACAGCATGTTCTGAAACATTCAGTATTTGTGTGGCTTGCTCTTGTAGGTGGTCTTAAAACTCAAGACGCGTTGAGGTTAAGGAATATTCATGTGCCTGTGTTGTGTTCTCTTTGCAATTCAGCACCTGAATCTGTGAATCACATCTTTTTTGAATGTGCTTTTTCTTTCTCTATACTGAACTCTCTACTTCCAGTTAACCATAATTTTCATCTTAGACCAACTGTTCTGTAGTTGTTACAATGGTTGGATATGGATTATTCTGGTTCTATTTTGAACAAAAAATTTTACATGCTCACGGTTTGTAGCATCATTTACTACCTTTGGAAAGAAAGGAATAGTAGACGGTTTGGTAATGAAATTCACAGCTCTTCCTCTCTGATTTATACTCTTAAAGAGTAATTATTAGCAAAATTCACAAATGGAAAAATTCAGACCAGCTTCTGGGTCTGATTTGTTTGTGACTTGTCTGTTTGTGGACTGTTTTACTTTTGGTTGTATCTGTTCAAGTTGGGTTATTTGGATTTGAAGGGGGCTGGGCTCTTGCCTGCCTTTGGCTGTTATTGGAAGACTCGTGCTATATCTATCACTGGCTAAAAGTTTTAAACTTGGATGGTATTTTACCCGCAACTATTCGGCTCAGGGCATACAGGCAAAGGAAGGACAGGCTATTTTGCACTGTCTGGACAATGATGAAGATCTCCTATATATCCCTTGGATGGCTGTTCAGCAACCAGGGATATGCGTGTTTCTTATTACCTAAAACTCTGAGTCCAGACAATATGTGCTTGGGAGATCATTTTTTTGGCAAGATGTGGTACATTACTACTTTTTTGTCTATTGGTGTAGGCATTTTCTATGCTGCTGTTGATGGAATTTGCTGGGCTGCTGTCTTTCATGGAATACATGGTTTTGGCATCTTCAATGCTAGTTTTGTTTGTTCATTCAGGTGCAACACTAGAGTGTTTTTTTCTGCTGCTGCTGGGCTCTTTTCGGCGATCAAATGCTTCTTGTTTTGCTGGAAGATCATTGTTTTTGTAACTTTATTTAGATGGCATTTTGTTTTTTGGCCATTTACTTGTATTTTTCTGTCTTCCATTTTTGGGCTTCTTCAAGCCGGCCATTAATGGCTTTAGTCAATTATTTCCTTACTTGTAACCGTTCTTATGATTAGTACAAAGGCCTCGGCCAAATTTTCCCAAAAAAAAAAATAAGCTCTTACAAATCATTTCCACCAAACCCGATGAGATAGAGAACTGAAATCCTTTTTCACACATCTAGTGAAGGCAAAAAACCATGAAGCTATGCCACCATCTTAGTGACGCCAACATACCTTGGAATCCTTTCTCACCTTCCTAGTATATGTAGAGAACATCAACTTTTAACCTTGAAGCTTCTCTACCCAGATCAACTCCAAAACTCATCAAGTCTTTGGAGGAAATAAGGTGCAAATTGTTGAAACTCGTTCAATATGAATTAGGATGTTAAGCCTAAGTGATTGTCACAAGGCTAACCAAGAGGGGGGGGGTGAATTGGTAATTTAAAAATTATACTTCTACTTTTGGATTTTTAGAAAACCTTTTTAATTATTAATGCAAGTTAAATTTAAATTTTAAAAATAAACTTCTCAATTAGATTAAACAACTTGCAATTAAATTAAATGCGGAATAAAAATAAGAAAGAACACACCAGATTTATAGTGGTTCGGTCAAACCTTGA